CCTCGCCTCGGTTGAGTTATTTGGCAGCGCCGTAAACAACAACAACAACAAAAACTGGCCCTTCGCCTGTCAAAACTATAAAAAAAGACAGCGTACCTGGGATGGCCGGAAGAAATCGTGCGGTGCCCATGGTCCAGGTTGACTTGCATAGCTGTAGCTGTATTTGTCAATATCGAGGCTACACCGCACCAAAACCCACCTCGTCAAACAGACAAGACACTCACCGACATGCTGCTCCCGGGAGTGGACAGATACAACACATATAAACATACAGTGAGACTCCAGACTCTCCAATATCAGCGTGCGAGGCTAGCATTGGAAGTCTTCATCCTGCCCTACTCATCGATTAAAGCCGATAGTAGTGCTTCGGGGACTGGTGACCATCTCCTTTACGTACACCTTCCCTCCTAGCTTGTCCTAGCATCGTCCAGCATACTGATAACCTCCAAGAAATCTAGTCCATCGTCTCAGAATTTACGCCCCCCACCAGTCGCCACGTGTTTGGTTACCCTCACCACGCCGCCTCTTGGCCTACATACAGTGAACTGTCATGTCTCAGATAGTGTAGTCATACTGGCAATCTCAGCTTCACTGTGATGAATGCTTTACTGAGTGCGAACCCATCCTTCTCCTGTCTTGTTTAACCGGCTAGTATCACCTCCATAACTGCAGTAGACGTTCATTTCTTCCTATCCTGCCTGATGACCCCTATAACTCTCCAGACCTTGTTGATCTTGTCTCATTTCATCTTCTTCCCAAGCTTTGACCCGTAGTAATACGCACTATGGATGACCTGTTAAGACGTTGTCCACTCCATCTGATCTGTGCATTACGAAAAAACGGGTCCTCGACCTGAAAAGACAACACGAACAAATACTACGCGCGATATTACATTGGTTTTGCTCACCCTGAGAAACCCCCTGGCAAACGCAAAACATCCCGCTGATCACAGGACTGTGCATCTCGGCCTAACTACCTCACCCACGACGTCCGTCAAGGGGCTGTCCAGAAATCGAAGTATTTCAGTCCATTGGGGGTACGGCACTGTGATACCCAGTTTGATAGCACACACGCAATTGTTCTTCTCCTACTTTGACCGCGCTCTCTCACCACTCGTTTCCCTTACCGGCAACCACGATCAATTTCATATGTCACCAGCCACCGCCTGGTGGCGTTCATTGCAATCTGCGAACCTCCTTTCAGATGCAAAGATCCCGGCGAATTTTTTCGCACTCCTCACCAAGTCAGCCAATTTTTGCGTGAACTCGTTTTCCCAACGCAACCCTCAATAAGCGTGTTCAACCTGCTGCAGTGAAAATGGCTGCTGGCATTAAACCCTTGGACCGTGAATCGCATCTCGCTGTGTCTGACCTCTTTCCACCGGTGTATTGTTGCTTTCGAGGGGGCCTAGTACTTATTGGTGCGTTCGTCCAACAGGTTTTTCAACGTTGACCCATCTAACACACGGAGGTGGGAAGATTTTCAAGCTCAGAACGCATACTTCTACTGGGCAGAAATTTTCTCGTTTCAGGTTTTTTTGCGTGGAAAGACTTTCCCTAGGCGACTGTCCACGCTCCATCTAGTACCCAGTTCAAAGCACTATTACACGCCTTCTATGCGAGTCCTTTCGCTGACAAGCTTTGCCGTTCAGAAGAACGAAAGCCGCTCAACTAAATGGACATAATATACCCGGGAATCCTGGGCGAAAGCATCAATTCTGTGTATCAATTCGTGAATCTGTGAATCTTACTGTATATCTAGACTCTCAGCCAGTTTCATTACCTGGTAATTGTGGCCACCGCTTCCCCCTATGTCCCCCCCGGGTGTTTGCTGTGTAGTATACTACTACTACCGTATATATACGGTGTCTGTCATTCTGATTGATTCATATGTAATTATTGG